GGGCGGCGGCTCTGGACGCGAGCATGGCCCTTCCCGTGGAGATCGCCCCAGCTAGATAATAGAAGTTAAATGTATCCTTAAACGTAAAAGTATTGTTTTGAAAAATGCTAAGTATTTAATTTGCTATCTAAGATTTAAAGATCTGAAAGTTTAAGGTCTCTTTTCTTGCCATTAAAAAGTTTATTTTGGTGGAGGGAGGGGTAGACACGCCCTTCCCCTAGCATTAAGCATGACTTTGGGAAAAATACACCATCTGAGTCCTTTGCTGAAACTTCCCCCAAAGCAGGATGTGGGGGAAGGGAAGAAGGGAACGCATGGCGATCCAATATAGACGCCCCCTCCCCAAGCATTCTAATTTAAAGTCCTTCTTGTAATTGAAAAGTTTTAAAATGCATCCGGGATTTCTGTGCACATGTAGGGGGAAAAGGCCAGTTTAAAAACGAGTGCTCATAGTTTTGAGCTGGACTTGACCTTTTGCTGTGTGCAGAATAAAAACCCGAGACTGTTTTGGCCTTAAAAGTGGCGGAGATGAACCTGACAAAGAAATGCAGGCTGGTTTCCCAAGGCGATTTAAAATAGCTCTTTTGAAATTTCCCACCCTGAGGCAAGTACCACCAGGAATCTATGGGGCAGAAAGTGTGCTTGCCTCGCGGATTTATTTTTAAGCTAATCTCTTGATTTCCCCAGCAGGAAAATTGTGAGAAATGTTGAATGGATGGTAGGCCAGTGAGCTGGGACTGGTCACTGGTGGTGGATTGTGAGAAGGGCTGGACGCGGCCTAACTTCTCCTTCCTTGGTACCCCTGAAACGTCAGAGGGTACTTATGGCCTCGGTTTTCTTGGGTTTTGGATTTGTTTGTTTGTTTGTGATGAAAATCGTTTCTATCTGAATGAGACATAGGTCAAGAATCCTGTCCTGGGATGTGGGAAGGAAAGGCCCCCACATCTGTTCCTGTCAGGCCCCCATCAGGGGACTTGGGCGGTGTTCCTGTTATCTGCTCAAGAGCCCAAGACTGTAAAAATACTTGTTCACTGA